CAGCAAAGCCTGGCTCTGGGGTGGGGGCTGCCCCTGAGCTCAGCATCAGCTGTGGGGGGCACAGGGCTCCCGACTAACAGCAGTGTCTTCTGACTAGCGGACAACGGCCTGAACCCTCTCTGGACGCCGAAGCAGTTCCACTTTCAGGTCAGCAACCCTGATTTTGCCTTCCTCCGCTTCGTGGTGTATGAGGAGGACATGTTCAGCGATGAGAACTTCCTGGCTCAGGCCACCTTCCTGGTGAAAGGCTTGAAGACGGGTAAAGCGGTCGGGGAAGCGGGGGCGGGGGTGTCAATGTCATGGTGTCCTCAACAGTTTGCTAATTGCATCATTAGCCAAGGAGACGCTGAGTTTCATGGGAGGATGCTGTCAGGCCCTGGGCTGGCTTTGTCCTTCCTGTCCCCATGCCAGGTGGAGGAAGCAAGGACCCATTTGCTGATACCCATCAAGACCGACTGCCACTTGGGCAGAGCTGGGGGGGTTGGAGAAGACCCCCTTGAGGTCTGTGCTGGGAGACTGACACGTCCCTGCCTATGCTGCCAGTGATGCTGGAGCTGTCTCTGCTGTAGGTTTCCGAGCTGTACCCCTGAAGAACAACTACAGTGAGAACCTGGAGCTGGCTTCCCTACTTGTCAAGATCGACATTTTCCCTAGCAAGGTGAGGCTGGGTCACACCTGAGAAGGTGGCTGCGCCGCGGGGCTGAGGAGCCAAGGCTGCTGTGTCTGCCCCTGCAGCAGGGCTCTGCGCTGCTAGCGGGTCGGTGCAGCGGAGCTCCGCAGTGCCTGGCTGTGCTGCAGGCGGAACGGATGAGTTTCCAGCACTGTGCTGTAGCCCACAGAGGACTGGTAGGATGGGAAGCATGCAGCTCTGTGTTGGCATAAACAGAGGGCAGGGCTTCTTCAGAAACAGATGTTTATTTCTTCATTTAAAGTGATGGTGGTGGGAGCCAGTGATGGTGTTAAAGACCGAGCAGCTGCATGTTGCAAACCCCTGTGAGCCCCAGACACCCTGAGTGGCAGCTCATGGGGCAGCAGAGCCCTGCACCAGGACTGCCTTTAGTACAAGACTGAAATCCCAAGCCTGAAGACTGAAATCCCCTTTACTACTGTATTTTTTTTCTGATCCAAGCAGGAGAATGGCGAAATAAATCTCTTTAGTGCTTCAGCCCTACGGGAACGAGCAGGGGATGCTTCCAATCAGCTGCTGGCGAGCAGAGGCAGAGAAGGGTCCTTTGAGTCACGGTACCAGCAGTCCTTTGAAGACTTCCGTGTGTCACAGGAGCAGCTAGCTGACCACTTCGAGAGCCGGGAGCGAAGGTATACCAGCGCTTGTTGAGCTCTTCCCAGCGTGAGACATGCGCGCCCCGCCCCCCCCCGCCAGTGGAGGCAGATAAACGCAGCCTCCCAGTAACCCAGAGCAGAGCCGCAGCCTTGTTTGCTGCATGAAAATCCTAAATTTCATTATGAAAGTTGTGCCAGTCCTTGGGGGAGTTGCTGCTCTGGGGTCCGTGGGAGTAGGGTGGGACAAGGAGCTGTCACCCTGCAGCTGGTGGCACTTTCCCCTGGCATGGGGGACTTGCTGGGCCCTGCTTTCCTCCTGGGGTGTGACTTTTGAGACGGGAGCATTTGCCCGTGATCATCCCTCGGTGTGTCCCCTCTGTGCTCCCCTGCAGGGTACTGCGGAGGACCCGGGTCAACGGGGACAACCGGCTGTAGCCCATCTTGGCGGGCGAAGGCACCTCCAGTGCTTGTGAATCTCACGGCACGCTGTGAACTGGTTTCTATGGAAACGGCACTGCTATGGCCTACTTTCAGGCAGCTTTTCCAGTTTCTCTGCTGAAGTGTGTTCCAGTGGAGAACTAAAAAAAAAAAAAAAAAAAATTGAACACCCACCACCCTTCACCACCAAGCCCTTAACGAAGTGCATCGGTGTGTACAGCCTGCCAGCCGCTGAGGTGAGAGACAAAACTGTCTATAATTGCAAGAAAAGAGACCCAAAAAAAGCCCCCAACCAGCCCTCTGCTGTCGCTGCTCTGCCTGTGTTCCTGGAGATCCTGCTCTGCACAGCTGCCGGAGGCCCGTTGCGGCCATCCTTTGCTGTACCCGCTCCCAGCGCGCCGGGCAAGGGGGAACTTCCGCAACCAAGGCAGCACCTATCTGTCCTGGCGGCGTCGCATCTACCTACCTGTATAGCCACTGCCTAGGGGTCCAGTAGTGAAACTCGACATTTACAAGGCCGCTCTAGCTTTAAATGACAATAAAAGCGTCAGTATTACACGCGTGGTGGCTCGGGTGTCTGGCGGTGTGCCCCCCTGCAGAGCCAGGTGCTGCGGGGGGAGCTGGGGTGCAGCCCTGCCGTGGGGGGCTGCGCTGCTCCCTCCTTCCTCCTGGCTTTAGGGACGTTGCAGATACTGGGGGAGCAAAAAAACCCCCAACAAAACAGGAGCTTTAATGTTCACTCAAAAGGGTAAAACAAGGGTGTTACATGCTTCTCTGAACCGGTCTGAGGATGAGCAGCTCCTAGGACAGAGGTATCCTGGCATTACTGCTGCTGGGCTTTACCCTGGGGGTAGATCGTCATGCTTTTAAACTGAACGCGAGGGCTGTGACTGAGCTGAGCGTTCCTGCTCCTGGACAAGCAATCATCCCCCTGCATGGGGCAGCTTTTGCCATCACCCAGCATTGGCACAGGGCATAGGGCAGCCCTGGGCACTTCAGCACCCCACAGGCTTGCTCAGTCCCAAGCACAATCACCAGTCGACTCGTGTTTGTCTTTTACGCTCTTTATTTAGGAACAACCAAAAATGTCTGGTTTCATTTCAACAAACTGTACAAGCAAGCTCTTCCCCTCGCCCACCCTCACATCCACATATACAAAAGGAAGGGAAACTTGCCATTCACTTCTCAGAAGTGGCATTGTTGCTACAGGGAGTTCTTGCCCTCAGAATAAGAGCAGGTAAAGTCCATAGCAGGTACAAGCTACCCTAGCCCTAGTAATAGCCACAGCCCACAATCACAGGCAGCTTCACTTTTTTTCTCTTTAAAACCTTTACCAAAAGTAAAAACTATTTCCTGTCTCACACGATTGCCAAGGTGACCATCTAAAATTGTGGTCTTAAAAAAAACACAATAATAACCCCACTGGAACCCCCCACACCTCCCCGGTACAAAGACGGTTTACAGAGCAGAGCCCTTGCTCTGCTCCCTAGCTGCACGGCCACCCTTATGAAAGGTCCCATTGCAGCTACAATTACATTTTCCTTTGGATAAATCCAAGCAAAAATTCCAGGTCATTCAGCACCAGCATGATTTCTAAATAACAATAATTAAAAAAAAAAAAAAAAGAGACCCCATTAGGCTGACTTTGTGGTCTGCTGAGAAACAAAGTGATCAACACGCTGTTTCCAAAGTCTCTCTTTTAGTGCAATGTTAGTATGTGCAAGGGGAAATCACAGCCACGTACCCATAACACCACCAGGAGCCAGATGGGGCAGAGAGAAAGTGCAATCTTAGCAAGAATTTTTCTATGCCATGGATTCCTAGCCCAACCTTCACTAGCACCAGTAAGCAAGAGGCCTCCTAACGCCACCCTCCATCAGTACAGGGAAAAAGTGGCTTTAACTGTGCCATCAAAACATGGCCAATGTCAGCCAACAGCACTCTTTACTGGAACAGGCAATAACAAGAAAAAAAAAACCAAACCACTGCTTAGGTAACAGAGCTCCCTTGCTCTGCAGTTTTGTGATGCCAATCCAGCATTTCTGGCAGTGACCACTGCCAGTAAAATATACAGCAGAAACTAAACTTGGAAAAAAAAAAAAAAAAGGTGTCTCATCCCTCCCTCCATCTGTAGTGTTGCCTAATCTTACCCTGCTGGTTTTATGATCAGCTGAGAAATTACAACAGAGGTTACCGCAGTGAGCTGAATCACATCAGGCCACCAACTGATTTGAAAAGAGCACATTCAAAATTAACTGGGCAACGGGAGAGAGAAGTTTATAAGCATTTTAAGTACTATCAACTTGACAGGAAGGTGCAGCATCATATTCACTTTCTAATTTGTGCCTAAGTGCTAAAAATCATCTTTCTAATTCCCAGTGACACAGCTTCCAAACATCACCTCCTGATCAGGTTGCCTCTGTAATGTCTCTGAGAGAGGGGCTGCAGGGAAGACAAAATACAAAACAATTCTACCTGTGACCAGAAATTGTTGCTTTTAAAAAAAAAAAAATTAAAAAATATATGTGTGTGTATATATATATATATACACACATATATATATATACACATATATATATATATACACACATATATATACACACACACACACACACACACCCCCAAAACCCTAAATGGAAAACCAGCCTTCTACATCCTCCTTCACCTCCTGAACAGACAGGACATGTAGCAAAAATTAACCAAGCAGGTCTCTTGCAGCTCCAGGTTCTGTGCAAGCATCACCAGGTTCTGCAGTCAGCTGTGGGCTGGCTACAGGGTTTCTCATCACAGCTGCCAGCAGTTACTGCTTTTGCTGGTGGCTTCTCGTGGTGACCAAAACAAGCCCCTGGCAGGGAGGGGACATGCAGCTGCACTAAATCCCTGCGGCTGGAGCTCTGTGGGCACACGCTGACCGCTGCATGCCATGCATTGAAGCAAGCCCCTGTGCCCACCCCTCTCGCCATGGCTGCGGGCCTGATGTGCAGCAGCACTCAGCTCTCAGGCAAGTGGAAATAGGAGCCTGTAATCATTGTTTGTTTAGTGTTCTGCTAAAAAAGAAAAAAAAAATTTCCAGGATACTAATTAAGGAGCTGAAAAATAAACTCCCCAAATGAAATACAGAGCCATGTCTAGAATTGTCACGGCAGGGCCTACTGATCATGAATAAAGTAACTGTTCCCTGCATCAGGAGAACCAGCAGCCCTTTACATGAGCGAGCCAGGTGTGGCACAAATCACGGGTTTGGGTTGTTAAGCAATTGGATTGTGCCCTTAATCTAAGCAGCCTCAGAGACATAAGTAACAAGATTCACATGGATTAAAAATGATGGTTGCTGCTGTTCCTGTCAAGCCAAGGCTCACACACAGCGGATGGAGACTTCCCTTCCTTACTGATGCTGGCTACACGACCTCTATCTTACACCCCTCCTTTCAAGTCAAGATAGTCATCTTTGATTAGATGATGATAAATATTCACACACTGTGTAGAATCATGGTGACACTTTCTCTTAACACTAGAAGAGCTGCTGGGACTGTGGAGTCACCTCTCAAGTTTTCCTTTCAGTTTCAGATGCAAACACATTTCTCACGTTCTGCATCAAAACCTGAGCCTATTTGGAGATGACACCTGCTTCTCCTCAGCTTCAAAAATGATGCAATAGGGAAACAGAGGACCACAGAGCTAAAAGCTCAAAAATTTTCAGCTTATACTTACTTTCATGGAGATTTCAAGTCAACTAAAAAAATGCAGATAACAAGGAATGTAGGAGTTAGAAAGAGAACTTGATTGCTTTTTGATTTTTTCTCTCTAAATCTTACCCTCCCCACACAACAGGGCTTGCCAGCCTCGTCGCCGTGTCCGAGGGGAGTCTGCATGGAACCACTTTTTACAATTCCTCCAACCCAAAAGAAAGAAAACTCCTGCTGTGCTTGTATGAATGCACGGAGACAAAGCTCAAAAACCTCAGCAGCTTCCAACCCTCAAGGCTGGTTTTTCTGTGTACACCGGGAAATTCTCCCTCTAGCTCACAAGACTTCTCTTTTCAATTATTCTGGAAAACTGGCCGAGTACAATCCAAGTGCAAAAAATTTCAGTGAGTGCATGGAAAAATGGTTTGAAGGGACCAGTTCATACCATAGCCCTTAAGCATTCGGCAGATGGAGCGGGGATCACTCTTCCAATTAGCCATAGGCCTTTAAGTGTACACCAAAAATCCCACAGAAAATCACCTTGAATGGGCAAACTACACTTCCAACATATTTATATAGCAAGTAGTTAGTAAAATTGTACATTTTTCATGTACATCTTAATGCAATAAAGAATCAATGGCATATCTGAACTGTATATATGTGTACTTAAATAAACCTGCATGTACATAGACACTAGAGAGTAAATTGACCTACCTGTATTTGTTCTCTGAAGGTAACACCATACATACACTCATACTCTCGGGCCACACACCTCCCAGATCGGCTACCTCCAGCTCTAGGCCCACCCAGATTCTCTTGTCACCTGTGACATTTCGGGGGGTGCACGACTGCACCCACAAGGGTGAACCCCTGGGGCTGTCCTCGCCGTGCAGCTGCCTGTGCTGTCCCGGAGGGGAGCCACGGGGACCTGCCCAGCTGAGCCGACCCCAGGCCGAGGTGGGACGGCTGCTGGTTATGCCTCCAAGCACGGCATGACCAGAAATAGTGCTTCTAAAGAGAAAGAAATTTAGGGAGCCTGGTGTCACTGCAGCGTGCTCCAGGCTGACACCACCCCTGCTCGCAGCATTTTGGGGAGGGTTTGTCTGACTGCTAAGGGATGTGGCAGAGCGGGTGTCTGCATCTGAGCACATCACCCCGGCTCTCTTTAGGGTGCAGGTCATCTCCTCCTGGAGCAGTTGCTCACACTTGGCCACGGGGGCTAGACCGTGTGCCGGGGGAGCTATGTGAGCTCAGGCACAGGCACCTACCGCCAGGTGAGAGGAAGCCCTCTCTTTTGCAAAGCACTGAGCAGAGAAAGCCCCTCCTAGTAGTTGAGCAAGGTGGCCTCTTAGAGGGAACGAAGAAAGAATTGGAAAAGCAAGAGCAATTGAAGGTAGAAATCAGACACCATCTTTGGAAGAAGTTCTGAAAGAGCTTTTTTGTTTTTAAACCAGATTTTTTTGTAAATCTTTGGATCCAATCCTTTGGGGCTTGCTACCCACCCTTCTAATAAATATCATTTACCACCAACAATAAAGTCTCCCACATTAAAAAGCTCTCACTAAATAAAAACCTTCTACTGAAAAAGCTTGGCTGAGTTAGCTTGGCAAAAATAAGGAGCTATGACTACTCTCCATAAATACATCAGCGGATAAACACCAAAAACTATTTAAGTTAAAGGACAATGTTGGCTCCAAAACAAACCAGGAAAGAACCAGCCATGAATTAATTCAAACTAGAAATTTAAATAAAGTTTCTAACCATTCAAAGGCAGTAAAGTTCTGGAATAGCCTTCCAAGAGCAAAAGTGAAGGCAAGACATGGAACCAATTTTGAGCTGGAATTTGTTTAGTTTGTGACAGAATGGTCTGACACAGCATTTGGCTGGGCTATTCAGCTCAAGAGTTTCCCTTCTAGATCTTGTTTTCTATTAGAAAAGAACAGTAAAAAAAACTTTTAAGTAGCTGTATCATACAGCAAACACCCAAGACAACATGGGCACATTAAAAATGTACAGGTACTGGGAAACAGGAAGGTTAACTGGGAAATTTATTTTGCTATTTTGCCAGAACTATTGCAGATAGACTGGGGTGGGGGGGTGGGGAAAAAGGCAAGGAAAAAAAAAAAAAAAAGACTGGAGCAAACACTTGAAGTTACCAGCGCTGCTGAAGGAGGATCTGTCATGTAGGGCTGCGAGAGGGAAACTTCCTGATTGTAGAAGAGCTGCTGCCTTGCCGATCCCTTGGAGACAACAATGACTTGAACCACTCAGAGCAACACTGTGTATTCTCTGCGTTTGTTCTCTGAAGAACAGCTTGTTCTCTCTGAACAATGAAAAGGATTCCAGGTCAGGATGGAAAAATTATTATGTGCTAGTTATCAGTGATTAAAGGGAGACTCGGAGATTTAATAGCCTGCTACAGTCAGTCTCCAGGAGCACCAGGGAAAATATTCTAGCCAGCAAGGGACAAATGACACCAAACTCCCGGGTTGTATGGGTCTGTGAACCTGCTACTTATTGGAGAGCATGCAATGCTAAATATCTAACCTCAACCATAGGGATGAAAATCTCACTCAGCTCCCACTGGACTTTAATGCAAGACTGGCAGTTTTCTTCTTGGATACTTCTCCTAACACACACATACACACTTGTGTGCCCGCAAAGCCCTTCATTGCCAGGGCTCAAGGACCAGAAAGGCCGGAGAGGATATATGCAGCCATGCCAACCTTTAGAGAACAAACACCTTAACGGACAGCAGATTAAAAAAAAAAAAAAACCAAGAAAAAAAAAGAAAAAAGTAGTGTGCCATGATAGTCCATATCTAAGCAATGACCTTGTTTACACAATGTCTGAGATTTGTTATGCTTGTATAGGCAGCTGTAGGCATTGGTATATGAATATGAAATCTGAAAGTCTGTCCACTGGAAAGCAAACAAGAGCATCCTATTTCCTGGGTGCAAGCTAAGACCCCGCCTCTGCCAGCTCTCAGCCATCTCCTTGGCTGGGACACTGAGAAATCTGCACTAAGTGCCCAGTTTTTGCACGCGCGCTCTCTTGTGTGCTGTGCTCAAAGGTCTTATTTATGGCAGTGCTTTATCACCACGTTCTGCTCCTGAGGTTTGGATCAGGCCGGCCCATGGGTTTCTTAAAGACCAAAAATTTCTTCTCAAGGGTAAGAGCAGATCCTCCAGGGCTGGTGGTTTGAGTTCAGTCTGTTTCTGCAAAAGAACAGAGGTGTCAGGGATGCTCCAGCTCACCGCAGGGGCCTGCAACCCAGGCAGGGTGCTGGATGGGGAGGAAGGGGTGCAGGAGTGCCTTGGGATGGTCAAAATTGGGAGCACTGATGCAGTCAGCTGCAGAGAAAGGCCAGCCCCATTTAGAGGGGCCAGGAAACCCAAAATACTCATGGGAGCAGAGCTGGGCTTTGGCCAGCAGCAAGGCTAAGGCAGGATGCAGCCCACAGTGGTCTAAAGCCACGCACCTTCACCGAGCACCTCCTGCCTCTGTGCCACGAGGGGCGATGGGACCGTCTCGCCCGTGGCATAAAATGACACTCAGAAGGTGCTAGCAGGGGCACGGCCATCGCCCTGGCATAGGCACACAAGCTGATCCACCACCCTTCTTCAAACCGCTGCTGCTGCAACACCTCCCCAGCCCGCTCCTGCGGCCGCTCCCCAGCAGAGCGCAGGAGGCAGCGCCCATCCAGACCTCTCAGCTGCAAGAAGAGCCCATTCAAACCCACACTGTCTCCTCTGCGTTACACAGGGGAGGGAAGCAATGAATTTCAGTGGAATTTTTTTTTTTTTTTTTTTTTTTTTTTTTTTTTTTTTTTTTTTTTTTATAAGGCCTGCAGCCATGGCAGAAGTGTGTGGGAGGCTCCGAAGCAAGGCAGTGGGGCTGTAGAAGATCCCAGCTGCCCAGATGGAGCAGGCAAGGGGCTCTGCAGCCTGTGGTGGGACAGGGCGGGAACCCCGCCAGGGAGGAAACAGCCCCCAGCTGCACTTCTGAAGAGCCCACAGAGGGCTTGGAAAACACCTCTCCTCTGCTCTCCTTCGCATCTGGAGAGCTGGCAGCGAGAGGGGAGGAGGCTCTTGCCTGCACGGGCAGGCACAGGTTATGTCTGCTGCCTGAGGCCAGGGGGAGGCATGGAAGCAGCCAGTGGCATGGGGGACAGCAGTCAGGTCCCTTTTTTTTCCAAAACCTATCTTCTTCATAAATAAACCCAAGGGCCACCTTTCCCTGGCGTAGGTAAAGGGACCAGACACTCCCACTGGTTTTACTTAAGCTAAAAGTAAAGCCAGGCTTTAGCTTCAGAATGGAGCTAGTATCCAGTGACCAAGGCAGGCAGGTGTGGGCAGGCAGGAGCACTCACAGCATCCTGCCAGACCCTCCTCATCCTCCTTCCCTGGCCCCACTCTTTCCCAGGGGTTTCCTCACTGCTTCCTCAGTTAAATCCCAAACAGCAGGACTGGACACAAAACCCTTCCCTAAAGCCTCAGCTTCCCAAATGGGAAATGCTCAGTGACTTGTGCTCAGCCAAACCCCCCCACAGAGCCAGCCCTGCCCGAGGTGGAGGCCTTACCGAGCCGGGTGGCGGGCGGTGGGCCGGGGGCGTCGGGGGTCCCGGCGCTGCCTTCCTGGCCACCTGGCTCCCACGACTCGCTGCTCTCCGACACCTCCGAGCCAGCTTCACACGGCGCTTTCCGGCTTCCCACCGTCTCACCAGCACTGGCCTCCTCAGGGACAGCGCCCCGGCTCTCCTCCTCCACCTTGACCGCAAACCACACCTTGAGCTGCTGGGCGCTGAGGTGGGAGCGCTCGCAGAGGCTGGGCACATCCTCCTCCCGCAGCCCCTTGTGCTTCTCATAGTAGTCCTCCAGCACCTCCCGGCCGGTGGGGCTGACCTCCACCAGCCCCGGGGGGAAAACCCCCCGCCTGTAGTTCTCATACCACTTCAGCTGCCCGTTCTTGTAGCCATACCGGCTGTCCCCAAACCAGCGAATGACCTCAGCCCGTGGCAGACCCGTCTGGGAAACGATGGCGTCGTACTCCTGGTTCGTGGGCCGCTGGGTCTGCACGAACATTTGCTTCAGCAGATGCCGCTGCTGGGCTGTTTTTTTAAAGTTCAGTTTGGTTTTCGGAGGGGTGGGTGGCCGGCTGGAGCTGACGTCCCCTTTCTCGTTTGCACCAGCCCCTGGTAACTCACTTTTGCCATTGGACTCAGTTACTCGCAGATTCTTCAGGTTGATTTTGATGGGACTCACTTTCCGCTCCATTGAGTTTGGGTTGTTGCCAGAGGCATCGACCGAGCCGTTTTCACTTGCGGCCCTCAGCTCATCCGAGGAGTCCTCCCCTTCCCCACCACCATTTTCCGCCTCCTCCTCCTGCCGAGCCGCCTCCTCCACTTTCTTATTTTCCTCTGCCACCTTCTTCTTCCTTCTCTCCGAGAACCAGCTATCAATCTCCCTCCGCGTCATCTTTGTTTCCCCTCTCAGGCGGTTCACCTCTTCTTCTGCAGGAAGGGGATTTTGGGCAAAACTGCTCTCCAGGGCCTTCAGCTGCTCTGGTGCCCGCTCTTTGTACTTCGTTGGTGTGAAGTCGGGCGCCTGATGCCATGACTGCCGCCGCGGTGGGTGGTGAGGGGCTGGTGTGGGCGCTGCTGCCGCGGGGCTCAGCTCAGCTCCCCTGGCCGAGACGTCGAAGGTTATTTCAGGCAGGGAATCAAGAGCGCTGTCTCCAGGGAAAACGGCCCGGCCGCCTCTCACGTTCCTGTAGTGGTACCTCCTATCACTGAACCATTTTCGAATCTCCTTGGTGGAAAGTCCCGTGATTTTTGTCAGCCGCTCAACTTCAGCCTGACCAGGGAACTGGTTTCTGCAGAAGCTGCCTTTCAAGGCCAAGAGCTGCTCATGGGACTTCTTGTTTTTGTACACGTTGGGATCCAGGAAGGTCTGCGAGGAGATTGCTGGGCAGGCGGTGAGCAGCGACTGGCCGCTGTTGACCACCTTCACCCCCGACGTGTTGCTGGAGCTCACTGTGCCATGCTGCGCTGCCGGCTGCGGCTTGGGGACAGAAGTCACCGCCAAGGTGAAGGAGGAGCTGGTGCCCTTTAACCCATTTGCCATGATGGGCTGCGTGACCAGCAGACCCCCCGTCCCCTCCGGCTGCCCCACCACATGGCCTGGTAAAGTCGCCTGAATAAGATGGGGGACGGTCCCAGGATTCGCAACCAGCGGCGTGTTCAAAACTGTAATGGTGGGTTGTGGCACGGACTGAATAACAGTGTTGAACATCTTCTTCCTGGCATCTTCAATCTCCTCCGGTGACCAGCTGATGCCCTGCTTCAACCTCTGGGCAGTGAACCAAATCTTCAGCTGCTCTTCTGGGTACTTTGTCACCACAGTCAAGTAGCAGAGCTCAGCTTTGGTGGGGTAGGGGAACTTGTGGAAAGAGTTTTTGAGGAAGCTGTTGGAGTCCATGGCGGCGTTGTATGTTGGAATGCTGCTCAGGGGGATCATCACCTTGGGAAGGGACTTGGACGTAGGTAGCTGCTGATGCAATGGGGGTTGCTGCTGCAGTGACACAAGTTGTGCAACACCCGCCTGTAGAACAGGCACATTTCCTATGATGGAGCCATTCACTATATGAGATGATTTTGTCGAACTTGCAGTGGGCTGGCTGACTGGCACAGACCCGTTTGGGAATGAATGCTCTCCATCTTTCACCTCCGGCTCACTGCCCAACTGACTTGACACATTCTCCTTCAGCGTGTGGATTTTTTTGGCCTCTGGTTTACCTTTCATTATCTTCATGATGGGGGTTTTGGTAATGATAATTTCAGACTGGCCATCCACCCCTTCTTCAGGGACCTCTCCTGGAAGATCGTGGCTGCTGGCAGCCTCACAGAGACTTTGCTCCACAGTTGTACGATTGTCCTGCTTAGCCACTCTCCAGATGAAGCTTGTTTCACCAGCGTGCGACTCTGCATTGTGGTGCGAGAGCCCTTCATGGCTATTTGCCAGAAAGTTGCAAGCAACACATGCAAAGGCAGGGTCTTTGCTAAAGTCTAAGTGCTCAGAGTCCAAGTGCCCAAAGAAGTGATGAATGTCTTGAGATCCAAAGTCACAAGACTTGCAGATATAAGTGTCACCATCAGCAATACCGCGGTGCCCATTAGACAAAGCTCCATTATTACTGTTATTGGCACCAGCATCACTAGCTGCTGGCCCTTCCGCAGGAGCATCTTGCTGCGTTCCTTCACGATCATCTTCTACAGCATCCAGTTCAGTCTCCTGAAGCACCAGTGTTTTTACTGGTATCATGCAGGGAGTTGTGGATTTTCTTTTGCTAGCCATCACTACAATTGATCCAGATTATTATTTTTCTTTCATTTAAATTAAATTCAGATTTAAAAAACACTATTGTAAGTGCTCAGTGGTCTAGATTCCAGCAAATTCATGATGTCCCAAGGAGTTGTTGTCAGATGTTGACAAATGTTCATATTTGCCACTGAACCTGAGGACAAGGAGAGGGAGGAGAGGTTAGTTCCCTTGGCATTAGACAAAGCACAACTATCCTGGTATTTAACTTTTTCACTAGATAAATTATTTCAGACTCTTTCACTGGAAAAATTTAACTTGACCTTGGATTTATGTATTTTCACACATACAACCTGTTTAAAAACAAACACACAAAACTGCCTCTTTTACAGCCTGCATCAAATTCTCATTTGAGGAGGAAAACCACTGAAATTTCCCCTCACCCTGCTCTGCCAAGAGCCGTCACCAGTGTTTTGGTGGGGAGAGCAGTGCTTGGGCTCCCTGCGTGCCCGGGCTCCCAGCTCCTGTACCAGGCAGGGTCCCCCTGGAAAACCTGCCTGTTTTCCATCAGAAAAAACGGATGAAAAATCAACACATCCCCCACAGAACATTTTGATTTCTTCAAAATCGGCATTTTCCAGCCATCCTGTCAGGAAGTTTCTCGCCAGCTCAAAGCACCATGCGGGTGCCAAGGGCCTCTGCCTGCAGAGACGCCTGGAGCTCCGCTGCAGGGAGCAGGAAGGCTGTAGCCAGGGCGACGTATTTTAACCCCTATCGCTCAGCAAGACCACAGAGCATTTGTGAGATTCTCTCCCCACCCCGTGCACGCTTCGTTGCCATTTCAACATCATCTGTTGAGTCGTTGTCTGGAGCTACAAGAGAAGGTAAAGCCTCAAAACTCAAAGGCAGCATCACACACATGTTCCTGGCTCCTGCCTTCCAGCCTTCCCTCCCACCACCTTTGCAGCTTTTGGCATTCACACAACTCAGTGCACTGCAGGTATTTCCTAAGAAAATGATACTTCTCTGCAACACGAGCCCATTTTTCTGGGCTTGGGGTGACCAGAAATCCATCACTTAAGGGAAAAAAAAAGGAATCTTTTTTAATTTTTCTGAAGCTAAAGCAGTTCCCAGTCTGCTCCAGCCTGTGGAAGGCCAGGGCTGCCCTGAGCATTAGCCACAACCTTATTCCTGGCCTGATGTAGCTTTGCCATCTGCACAGCGGATGGTCCATGCCTGAGATCACGACCCAAGGGCAGTAAAGCTGTCCGCTGTAGCTGGCACCAAGAGTCACTTGCCTGGTGACAAACCCCATAACAGGAAAGGCAGCACATATGAGGGAGGAACACCTCTGCCTTAACCCCTCTGCCAACCTTTTTTACAGCAACTCTGCTTTTCTTTTTCCTTTAAACACAGGGATAAAATGTTTTTTTTTTCCAGATTGCAAGGTCACTTGGAAGCATATGGATGCACTGAATCATATTACAAACACTCTGTGCCAGATTTTCCTGGGATTTACAGTAACAGCAAAAGAGCTTTATAAAAACACTCATAAAACTTGAACTGAAAAAAAAAAAAAAGAGAGACCAACTTACCATCCTACCAGATGACTCACAGAGGTAACTCCTATCAGTTACAGCAGTTGTGCACCAGTAGCTTTCTCATATCAGATATTCTGAGCTGATCTCATGCACTGAGAAATGCAGATCGGGCAAATGACTTGGTGGTGCTTATGCAATACCTCCTCTGCTTATTTTTGTCGGTAGCTTTTAGAACAGAGGAATGAAAGGTCCTAATGCAAAAAAAATCAAATGGAGGAAGTACTATTTGACCTCCCTAACTTCATTAGAAATTTTAAAAAAAAAAAAAAAAGTTCTGAAAGCTGACATCATTTTTTCCAAACAGGAGAGCCTGGATGGCCAACTCTGGCCTCAGCAACTCTCAGGCACCGTTTAAAAGACTGATGGGAAAACGTAACTTCCCGTTAATGTGGGCTGATCTGAGATTACAAAACAGTCCTGTAAATAGTGTTAGTCATCACTGAACTTGGCATCAGAAAAGACTGTTTGCTATGCTAAAGCTTCATGAAAAGCTAGAAATTACAACTTAAAAAAAAAAATAAATCTATAAATAAAAGTATTGAAGCTGTGATCTGGATTTAGTCAGTGTGAATTGCATGTTCTCAATACCTGCTTTATGTCACTCTCATCCCACCTTTTTATGGTTAGTCCTTCCCTCTGCAGAGGGCCAGACATTCATTAGTATTAGCAAGTCAAATACTTGGATGACTATGAATGGGCTTTGCTATTCAGAGGGGAACAGCATCCATTTGACACCAATCCCAAGATCCTAATTTTTGATGCTAAGTTAAATATTACACAATCTAGCAGGGTACGATGACCTTTCCAAGTCGAGTCAATTAGGAAAAAAACAATAAGACCAGCCTGAAGCCTACAAAATAGAGCTTTAAAGGCTGAAAGGAGTTTCGTGTCAGGGAAGTAACGGTAAAAGGGAATTCTTATTTAATTTTATTCTGCAGCTCTCGCACAGGCCAGGGAGAAACTGCTGGGTCCTTTGCAAGCTTTTTAATTTCCAGCGAACTCCTGCTAGAGATCCAGTGCCAGAGCCTCCATTACTGAGACAGCTCGAGTCCCAGGCAGATCTTACCTAGTGTTCATGGAGCCGACAGATATCAAAAAGATGATTTTTATCTGTCAACAGAGTAAATTTGATACAGAGCAATGGAGATACACAAAGACCCCCATTGTGCCATGGTGACAGAGTGCCTCTCCTGAGCATGCTGTCACTATTATTTTGGGTACATGTGAATGGCCTGACCCACCTACAGAGAACCTAAAAGCTCTGCATTTCATTTACCAGCACATTTGCATCAAGCTCCGTGCTCTCTCCAAGAACTTTTGTTAAAAATGCAATCAAAGCAGCCCCAGCCACCACAGCTCTCCTGCTGGGGCTCCAATATTAAGGCCACCTGAGAACACATATTGCAAATTTAGCTGGAAGTGAATCACAGTGCCAATTTACTGGGAAAAAAAATTAATCAAGTGTACTGTTTGTCCATTTCATTTCCATGGAACAGTTGCATAACCACATGTTCGGAGCATGTTTTATTCACTGCTCACCTTCTGGAATGCACTAATACTTTAATATACCACTAATATATAACAGAATGGATAATTCACTGATTTCTCTGTCATTAAAGTGAGGCTGTTTTAATGGACAGGGTAAATTAATGACAGAAAAATTAATCAATTAAAAAACAGCCTTACAACAGCTCCACCGCAAACCCTTCAGACCAATCTGTACAGTCGTGTGTGCAGAACTTTATTTCCTATGTATTATTTTATCATTAACTGGAGGAAAGAGACATTAGCTGAATGAAATGGCTACCTGGCAGCCAGAAAGACAAAGAGGTTGTACTTGAATTCACGGTTCCTATTTAATTTATACTTCTAATTTAATAGTGAGGTAGCAGAGTAAGCAGGTCAAATGACCTGTACGCCCAACCTGCCATTGCTGTTGGAAATTTGCGGGAAAACTGACTTAAAGCAGCATTAAACCCATTCAGTTCCAGTGATACTCCTGATACTACTGATGCTGGAAGGAAAGGCAGCCCAAAGGCTCCTTTGGCCAGATCAGATCCCAGCTCAGCACGTGGCTGGGGGTACATTTCTCATATCTAAAGCACCAGGAACTAATTCTGGGGCTCACACGACAGCAAGACAACCATGCACACTCTGCTCCTGTGACAGGGACAAGCAGCCTGGCCTTTGCACAAGGCAGGCACAAACCTGTGAATGGCTTAGGTTGGGTTGTGGTTCCCTATCCTTGATGTATGTTCGTGATTGCTTGTCTGCACAGCTCCCAGCTTAAAACAGTTTAAAAAATCATCACGGGAAAGCTCTGCTCCACTGGTAGATGCAGTTTTCCGCTGTTGTCACCATGCGGTGGCTACAGGGACAGCCAGGTTGGTGGCCACTCATCAGCTTCTCAAGGGCTGTGACCTAGAGGAGGCAAGCCCCGCACTGTGAGCCAGCAGCGAGGGCAAGGGGAGCCGCAGGCTGAGCTCGCTCCTGCACTGCCCAGGTCTGCCCATTTCTCCTCTGTGTAAGAGGCCCACGAAGGCCACACACCAGCAGCCCATCTCCAGCTCACAAACAAGTACAAGGAGCACCAAGAGACGTGCTACCCCTAGCAATTCAGAAAATAATAACAGAGGAGGAGGATGGAAGCTGTGAAATCTGGGATCCCAGACTATGGAAACTGCAGCATTTCTGCTAGAGACAGAACAAAACCTACAATGGTGCTTTGAACATTCCCCTCCTGCAACACCTCCTGTACCAACCCTCTGTCCCCCCCAGCACAGAAGCCTTCCCGTCCCCATCAGCGGGTCCAGGTACACACTGCCTACCCTCTGCGGAGCAGCTTTGCCTCCACTGAGGAAAACAATGCTGAGACTGGTCAAAGTAAGCTTAGAAATTTCAGAAAATTTACTTCTGCAGAGATTAACAAAGGGAGGTTTCGAAATCTGCACTGCTGAGTATGAACTTTCAGCTTTTTCCAGCTTGGCTGGATATAACTGGTTTGGTTTTAAATGTTTCAGTGAATTAATGAGTTAGGTTGTTAATGCAAAACATTCATTCCGTGCAGTGCCAAGGTCCCCAGTTAGAAGATTAATTTTTGTGACCTTTTGCAAACCTCGCCTAGAAACAACAACCAGAAAACCCACCAGGCAGTATCACTGGCCAGCCAGGGCGCAGCTGGGCACAGCAGCTCTGGTCTCACCACCCGGGTACGGGGATGACGGGACAGTCGCCCTTCTCTGCCCCAGCCCAGCCAACTCCTGGGTGCCCAGCATTCACTGGGGACAAGGGTCCACGCAGACATGCAGGATGGCTACGTACTCTACTTGAGGCTCTGGTGTTTGATGCAGAATGCTCGGTTAAAAAAAAATAAAATTAAAAGAAAAATTTTTTTTAAAAAAACAACACCAAAATAGAAGTAAAATAACAGTTTTCTCAACACTTCCGGTGCCTGCTAGGCAGGCAGACACACTCCCCAGGTCAGGGACAAAGTTGATGTTTCTGTGTCATATGAAGCCAAGCACAATATTGGCACTTAAATAACACTGGTTTGTTGTTAAGCTCAAACTCTGCAGGCCCTGCCTGATAGCATAAGGGGCGGGGGGGGGAGAGAGAAATAAAAGAAAAAAAAAAGTTGATGTTTCAGAGTTTTTGTATTTCCCCTTCAGGCTCTACCTCCAGCCAGGCCCATTTGATGCACATCTGTCTGTGGGAAGACCACAGATGACTTCCCAACTTCCCACTGGTAATGAGCAAGTAAAGACCAGTAAATGAAAGATCCTTGTGGCCAGCACCAACAAGCAGGTGTTCTCTGCAGCACCTAGATCCAAGAGCTGACCCACCCTCCCCTTCCCACCACCATACACCCGAGAGGGAAAACCCACCATGTTTTGCAGTGGGTCCCCCCCAGCACAGCAGACACCCTGTTTGCTCTGGGCAGTGCTGGGTGCCAACTTAGTGGCCTGGGACTGGGTACATTTACCTGGGTGCTGGGGAGGGGAACAAAGACAGGGCCATGAAGCAATGAGCACAGGCCGCCCCTGTCACCAGCCATGGCAGTCCTGGGACTCTTTCTCTTTGGTTGGGCATTAACATTTATTCTGCATTTGGAGTCCATTCATGAGAAGTCATGTAGGAGTTTCACTAGTTTTATTAACTTCTTGCCAAAACGTGCTCAGTGTGGGCTGGCAGGAGAGAGGAAGGCTGGGGACTCCTGCACTTTCCACAATAAGGTAGAAGCGGCAAAGGCTTGTTTCCCTGGCTAGACATCACCATGGACTTGGAATCACAAGCTCTGGTTACAACAAAAGCATAACAAAGCACAGGGAGAGGCCATGCAGCAGCATCACCAACGGGCTTCAAGGACAGCCTGCTGCCAGGAACAGGGCAGCTATTGCTAATCCATCCCAGGGACACAGTGTGGATGGACATGCTCCGGCATCTCAGCAAAGACCTCTCCAGGCTACATCCCTGTGGTTCAATACAAACAGAGTGAGCAGCCCAACTCTTCAGAGCAAATCCCAGCTTCCTGGGTGTGGACAGGACCTCTCTTTTAGCTGTGCCAGCACAGCTCTCTAACAGCAAAGAAAATGCAAGATTTGGCAGGGCTGAGCTCCTCTGTTCCTGGTCTGCGGCTGTGCATCCCGACTAGCTGGGGCCCAGCATCCTCCCTGAGTAACTCTGCAAAGCCTGGAGCTGGAAGGGAAGTCACAGGATGGGACCATCGCCAGCAGCAGAGCATCACCCGGCTCCCAGCAAGCAGTGCACATCCCCACGCCATGCCCTTGCCTAGCACTGGCACCTATAGGTAGCTTCTGCCACCTAGACCCTGGTCCATAAACCAGACCAAGGTCATGACAATTCCGTTGGGGTTTAACCCCATGCAGGACTGCAAGTTCCCATGAGCAAACAGTTAATGAGATTTTTCTCTCCAGAGCAGATTGCTACTGCAGTAACACTGCAGGCACTCAAAATTCAGGTGCTCTCCACAAGAACAGGGAAAGCAACCAGCAATAAAATAACTGCAACCCGAGAGAAGCCACACAGGCAAGAAAAGCCTCTTCGCATCTTATTATTTTGCGCCGCACAAATGTACAAACACACGCACAAATTTCAGCAGTTTTGAGCTTCAAGCAGCATCACATAGTCAACGTTTGTACTAAGGAACAATTTGTCTTTATGTCAACTGGTCAGGGTGCTTTGTAGCTTAAGACTGGCTTTGAAAACACGGGTACAGTCTAAAGGCAGTGGAAGCCGGTTGACCGAACAATCGTATTCATTCTCCATTACTTGGCAGGCCTAGAGTAGAAAAGCGTCTTTTCCATTTAGGCTAGTTAAACAGAGCTATTCATTAAAATTTCACCCTTCTACAAACTGCTGTACTTCTCCATTTTAAATTTGCCTTCAAGAGAAGACCTCTCTCCTCTGCCCCACAACACCTCATCATCCTGTTTCAAGCCATCACCCATTTACGAGCTGTGTTTTCGGATTGCTCTGGTGCTTCCATAACAGCAGTAACTCCTTTGTCGTTGTTGTTACCTGGGTAGAGGCTGGCTTGCTGCCTTAGCACTCGGGGACTAATAGTAATTATCTCTGCTTTTTTTCAGATGAGCACAAAACTGAGTAAGATGGAGGGCTAGAAAGAGGCAGCTGAAACAGAACGCGATTAGAGTATAAAAATAGGTCACTAGGATAATATAACCTTTAGACTATTGGCAATGTGCCCCCCTTAGAGACAAGCCTGCGTGCTATATTTCAGGAGAATGTCAAGACAAAAAAAAAAAAAAAAAAAAACACAACACAACACACATCAAAACAAAACCACTGATCATCCCTCGGAGCTTTGCATGCTTCTGTTTGAACATCACTAACATTAATTCACTCCTTTTCCTCTGCCCTCATCCATTTGATCAAGCATAAAATAAATGTTATGCAATCATACCATTAACATCTTCCAAAAAAATAATAATCTCTTTTGGCATAGAGGCTTCATTACAGATTTGCTCCGAGTTACACTACCTTAGCAGGGTTCACAGTCCCAGCATCCCAGGGACCCACCTCCATAAGCTTCAATCCTCACATTTTGTCCATGTTGCAAAACATTCCGGGCACTTCCCCAAAGGAAAAGGTCCAGCAGACAGATAATCATCTCTTGACAGAGCCAGCTCCGAGGTTAACACTACCAGCAGAGGACACCAGATAGCATTAGTGGAGCTTCAAGAAGTCTCTCAGCTCATCAATATCTGGGTCTCCCACCACCTCATGCTCAGCTGGTGAATACCAGTGGGTTGGTTTGTGCCTGAACAAGACAGTACGAGAACATAGGTCATGTTTATAAATGCACAGGATTTCTCTGATTTCACTCCTTTGTGCTTTCTCTAGGAGGTTTTCTTTTTATTTATATTCTCAGGGATCTGTTTGTGATTGCAGCTTCATCACAGGCACCTCAAACAGCCCCACATAGGTCAGTAGTATTCTGCCACACCACATTCAGACTTGCTACCTGCCTTGCAATCCCACTGTTAGAGCTTATTATCAAACACCACCATATAGATAGGGCAAGGCCAGCTTTGGCAGGTGCAGCCCTTTGGAATGCATGTGAAACAGGGTAGGTTACACCTAAAATATAATTCTTTGTATTTTTATTCTCTGAAATTCCTAAACTGGCTCCAAGCCAAAAAACTATCAGGGAGCTTGGAGTAAAGACTCCCGGTTCCCAAAGCAACATGAGAACCAGAGGTAGATCTTGGTGCATGTTAAATTTCTGATAAGGGCAATTGAGTCTTTAAAATCAGCAGGAAACACTTGGCCAAGCTGGTGAGGAGTTCACAGGCACAAGCACCCAATGACAACAGAGCACACAAAGCACAGAAGCCCACTGTGCTCTCAGTGCTGCTGCAGCCTGCCCAGTCCCAGGGAGTCATTCTGGGGGAAGCCTCCTAGCCCGTCTGAAGCACTCCTGCTCACCCCAATTCCAGGTTTGGACATCCACCTCCAGAGGGGTGACCCTATTTGGGGGCCATCACCCCAAATTAGGGAACCACAGCTCTATATGCTAGCACAACATTTATTGTTAGAAGAAAACCAGCATCAGCTTTTATATCAGCACCAAAACAATCCCACTGCAGAGCCACAAACCCAAAACCCTGCTAGAGGCTCACATGGTTTTCTCACCGAGCATCCAAGTCCCTTGTGCAACGAAGAAATGCTTGCTGAAGACAGGCTAATCACCAGTTACCGAGCGGCTGTGTAAGGGACAGACCCGCAGCAATTCCAGGGAAAAATAGTATCCAGAGCTTTAAATCAAGATGTGGGTAGGAAGGATTAAACCAAGCTACTAAGTAGTACCAGACAGCAAGCGTAGGGCGCTGGAGCTGATCATCTGCAGCACAGACTGAAGACTATTAGAGTGCTGCAGCCCCTTCCCAGCTGAGCATTGTTGGATTACTTCATCCACTGTGCCCTTTTGCAATATGCTAGCTTCAAGAGCTGTGTTACGTTCTGGCTCAGCATCAGCTCCCATTCCCCCACTTACAGTTGCTATAACCAAAAAGACAACTGCAAAATACTTCAGCTGAAAGCGAGGGAACAGGGTTTGGCAGGTTGGGATCATGGATTTTTTTTCTCCCCCGTGGATCCTGCTTCAGGTCGTCCTTTCAGACCTTGTGTGCAGCCGATGGCTTTTGCAGCTTATTGAGTCCGCTGGTTTATGGCAATGTTTTTCTGCTCACTGAACTGGCTCATTCTTTCAGCAGAACAAACTGTTCCACGTTGAGGCAGGAGTTGGCTGTGTTTTAACAAAGGATTTTTCCCTTCTGACAGTGTTTTGCAAAAGACCCAAAAAAAAGGAGTTTGGAGCCAAGTTACAAAAGGTCAGGAGAGGCGAGTCAAGCACTGGGTGTAGTTCCTGTATGTCACAGCCAGTCAAGGAAATGGGTGGGGAGAAGAGGAATGGCATTTTGAACTGCAATAATATGTATAAAGTGATATTAATGAGGAATGGGCTTTTGAATGAGGATGGCAAGTATGCAGGCACTATAATTTTTGCTTTACAAGAGCAGGCTTGTTAGGTAGGCTGAGGTCTCCACAATCATTTATCCATGTGAAGTATGCATTTGAGAGAGTTCAAGTAGCACTAGTAGCAAGAAAAAAGCAGACATTTTCTTGCCCTACCTAAGCTGATTTCCAGGAGCTATGGTACTCTCATCTTCCATCAGCCAAATGAATATTCAAAAAGCTTTTGCCAGGCGAACACCAGTCAGTCACCAGAACAATGCTGGGGGAAAGAAACACTGGGCTGAGAACCCTGTGTGAGACTGGCACCTTGTTCCTGGCCCTGCTCTAGCATCCCAACCATTTTTAATGTGGCGCAGGGTGTGCTGGGTGCCACGGCTGCTCCGCCTGCTCCTTTCCCGGCCGTGCCACAGAACAAGACCACTGGAGTGGAGCTGCAGAGAGGATGCGCAGCCACCAGCAAGGGTGCTGTGGGTGAGGAAGGACCCTGGTACTGTGGTCCCAACAACACAGCCCTCCCTAGGGAGCTGATGATGGATCTTCCTTCCCCTTTTCCAGAGGCTGGGACCAGAAGTTTTTGGCGTTGCATCACAGGTTCTCCTGGTGAGGCCCCACTCCCTGTTCAGCAGCAGCTGGAAGGGTCAGGGTCTTTCTGTGCTACGCATGGTGCATGGGCAAACCAAGATGGCCAACTCTGGCTTTGCAGATGTTGAAACGAGGGGAGCCAAGGGGATCTGCAACAGTTGACCGTATGTCATGGCTAATATTGAAGCTTTAGTAGGCCTCAGAGGATCCCCGAATAGAAAGAAACCACCCACCACTGGAACACAGCCACTTTTGTGGTTAGAAGGGGCAGATGTTCAACCCCATACAACAATGCAACACAACAGTTCAGACTAAGTGAAGAATGCTGCATCCACTTAAAACTGAACAGGGGAATTAGGGACACCATCTAATTCTAGAACTACCATTTGGTCCTGATGCTTACAGTTCAGCATACCTACTCTGTAAGAGTGGCACAGGGTTTTCTTCCATTGCCTTAAATGGACAACACCCTGGCCTGAAGCACTGAACCACAAGAACTTCAGAAGCATATGGTCAGACCAGCAAGTGTTCAGCTCCTTCAGCTGTAACATTATTTTCCAAAGAAGTCCAGCTTATTTTCAGTACCTACGTAAGTGGCAGACTTCCAGAAGTCCCCACTTCCCAATAGGTCCTGCTGGCATAGAGCAAGGCAGACCATTAAGAGGGCTCAGCATCCTAATGACCAAACCTTTTGCTGAGGTACACCTGATGAGAAGGCCAGCTTCAGAAGTCCTCCTCACCACAGTTAATATGAAGTGCTCCACCACTCAGCTGCCAAGAAGAGCAGGTATGCAGAACTACACCACACCTACCACCAAACACTTATCCACTAACCACTCAGAGCTCACAGGGGACAGACAACCTTCACACTTTCTATAAAATACTTCTTCTAGAATTGACAGTCAGATGAAAACTGACCTGGGATTTCATTTGAGATCTCCATGGGCAAGGTCCCGGCATTCAAATTGTGCACCTGCCAGCCAAATGCAACCCTTGTCATCTGCTCTTTGGTTTGAAAACTGCATTTGTTCAAAGCCATTTGTCAGGCCACTCTGGACAGTGCACAGAGATACAGAACAAAGTTCAAGGGTTATTTGTGATATGAACCATGCTTGTCAGGACTCTTCCTCCAGCTGTTCACTTCCTCCAGTGACACTTGGAATGGATTGTCCTTACTGGAGAGTCAATTATTTTTTTAGTTGAAAACTCACTCTGTAGGTCAGCTGTGAGCTGAAAGCATCCAAGTTATTTACTGCTGGAAGCTAAAGGAATTTCCTTACTCTCAGAAGACAGACATTTAAAATTAGTTTCAAGTACAGTTGTGATAAACAAATCATGTTCTCCTCCTTTCCCTCTCCTGCTGTTTTTTTGTTCATTTGTTTTTTAAATCATGCCTGCTGGTCTAACCAGCCTTTTCCTTAGCTGCCCTCTGCAATTTCTCATTAAAAATTCATTCACAAGGATGCAAGGGAACTACAGACATCTTCCGAGAAAAATCAGCAAAGCTCTCCCTCTGACATTTTTTTTGAACACCATTAAAAAAAACCAAACCAAAACAAGTTATTTGGCTTTTTTTCCCCTTCCTGTGAAGAGTGGAAGGTTGGGACTTGGGTTGTTACCTTCCTACAGGGGACAGGGCTCAGGACTTCAGCTCTCTGACAATACCCAGCCTGTAGAGTCTCTTGGTGGCTGGAAGATGAGCTCACCAGCCCACTCCACCTACCCCGCTCAATAGCTGAGAGATGCAAAGAGCTTTTGGCAGATGCATAAGGAAGACAAGAGGTGTCTTAAAACAGTATGACAGCCCAAGATTTTGGGGTTTGGACTGAGGTCTCCTGAAAGCCTTTATTCACAATATTGTTGTACTCATTAATTTGTGGATCACAAGGCCTTGATACAAGGAGATTATTTTTAAAAAAATTCAGGCATGCTGGGAGAATTGCTTCCTTGCCATGTGTTATCGAGTCTACCCATGAACTGCCAGCAATTACTAAGGCTCCACTCTGTATTCAAAGCTCTATACAATGGAGTTTATTATTTTTAAGCCTTTCAGACATCAATGTAGCAAACTTAAGAGAGCCATTTGGAAGATTAAGATACGAACACCACCATATTATTCAATTTAGCTCCAATACTGAACAATTACTTCAGTAAAGAGTCACAGCTAATACTACATTTCCAACTGCCAACAGAGACAAATACTTACAGCTTTAAGTCACATTGCAGCATGGTCTTGTAAACCAAATTTAGGAAATAAGAACAAGGAAATTACTATCATTATGCACATACTGCCCAATTAACTGCCAAGCCACACCGAACCTATCTTCAGGTCTTGGCCATAGGCTTCAAAAATACACAAATACAAATATACACCCCTAGAACCCAAGGAAAGAACCCAAGGAAATCCCTGCTTTCTGTGTGTGCAGCCAGGTGTGAAGTTACTTGTACATCTCCAACAGCTGTATTAGATGCGTTTTAGAAATATTTTGTATGTTTATACAAGTGCAAAGGGGCTTGCTACCACCTCACCATTCCAGCTCACTGACTGCTTAGGACAGACCTGAGGAGAACATCAGCTCTGGGTTTTGAAAGCGATGTGCCAACCCCAAGGGCTCCTGCCACGTGTGTTTGGGTCTTGCTCTCAAGTTCTCAGCCCACGTGGTAGAAACCTCAGTTCTGTCGCCATGGGTGGGTGCTGACTCAGATTGAAAGAATGACACCACTTTTCCAAAGAGCTCTTTGCAGCCCCCTCTGCAGAATTAAGGCCGCTGCTGAGCTGCATTGCTGGCTTGACTCCTCTGCAACCTATTTAGGTCTTTGTGGGTGCCGCAGAAACACATAACAACCCAAGCTGGGAGGGAATGGAGGAGGACATTGGGCCAATCCCCCACTTCCAGCAAAGAGCTTCCATCAATTCTTCACCAGGTGGGTGAAGCTGCCTATCAGTATGGAGCTCCTGTTTCCTACAACCTTCTGCTGCATGGGTAAGAACAGCTTTCTGTCCACTTGTGTAATTTATATCGACTGTTGAGTAATATTTCTTTCAAAAATCCAGATGAATTGCTAAAAAAAAAAAAGGGGGGGGGGAACTCCCCCCCCCCCCAAAAAA